TGAAAAAAACAGTCCACATCACTAGCTATCCGTGAAATGCAAATTAAAAGAACATTGAGATACCGTCTCACCCAGGAAAGAATGGCTTTCATAAAGAAATCAACCAACAACAAATGTTGGAGAGGCTGTGGGGAAAAGGAACCCTTCTCCACTGCTAGTGAGAATGTAGACTGGTGCAACCATTATGGAAGCCAGTGTGGAGACTCCTTAAAAAACTAGGACTGGAAATCCCATTTAAATCAGCTATCCTCTTACTGGGAATTGTCTCAGAGGAACTGAAAATGTCATATCACAGTGATATATGTGCACCTGTGTTTATAGCAGCACAATTTGTGAAACCCAAATCTTGGAAATAACCAAGATGCCAGTCACCTGAGGAATGGATGAAAAAGTGGTATTTTTATACAATGGAGCATTACTCAGCTATAAAGAAAGATAAATTCAAAGCCTTTATATTTAAGTGGATTCCACTTGAATATATAGTCATAAGTGAAATAAACCAGACCCACATTGTAAATATCATATAGTCTCCCTAGTGTAAGAACTCAAAAGAAGAAATAAAAATAGAAAGGTATGACAAAATTAAAAGGAAAATGAGAACTTAAGGATTAAACAATAGAGGGCAGGGAGAAAAGCTAGGAAACACAGCAGGGTCAAAGCTATACATTTATATGCACAAGATGGTTAAGGCAATGATCTTGAGAATCTTCTCATGTTTTTGAAACAGCAGTTAATTGGTAGGGTTCTCACCCTGACTAACTGTATCTGCTCCTACCTATGAACTAAGTGATTGAACAGAAGATAGCAATATGTAATACTGGGGTCATGCTTGGAATACCTGTCATTCTGGTGTTGTAAATACATACTGCTTGTCATGTCATACCAAATGCTGCCATACTGTCTCTCAAGTAAATGTTTGTTTTAAAAAGGGTAATAAATGAAAACAAGAGATAAGAAAAAATCATAGGACTGTCTTTCTATAATGCTGTATATGGTTAGATTTCTAAATTTCTGGGTAAAAATATGTAATTGTTTATTCCTATTTTTAAAAATATTTTTATTTTTTTCCAGATTCTATAGTGATTAAAGTTTAAATATGAATACTTGATGGAAAATATCTGTTCCAGGTTGTGTGTAAGATGTTTGATATTCAGACAGTGAGGTTAAGCTCAATTGCCATGTTATAGGGTTGTAATATCATTAAGCTTCTCTTCTGCAGGGTTAACAACTTAAATTTGCAGAGCAAAAATTAGAGAAAAAGAAGGGCTTCAAGGACAGCCAACTTTTTGGCCCTAGTCTTTCAAGCTCAGTGAGGACTCAGGACATAGGAGAACCTATACTGTAACATCATGTAACTCAGTGGTGTCCCAAATTTACTGATCAAGGAGATTATGGGTCCACAGAGGTATGTGATCAATGATGTAGAGTGTGTCTAAGGAGAGTCACATGGAAAGAAAACATTCTCTCAGGCTTTCACAGAGAGCCAATTGGTCAAGCAATGGCTGTGACTCATCCACATGGCTGAAACTGATGAAGGATCTACAAACTGCTGTACAGGGTTTCAGGCTAAATTCTGATGAGATTTGATGGACATTGGTAGATACAAAAGTTCCATTTCTTGTAATATAGGTCTTGCTTTAGCTTGGTCTTAACTATACAGCAGAAAAGTGTAAAAATGAGGTATAAAAAGGAAAGCCATATCAATATGCTGAGCTGTAAAAGGTTCAAGTCAACGACTTCTGACATTGCCAGTCTTACTGAAAACCCACTACTATTTATGGCCTAATAGACTGTATTGAAATGTTTTGCTGAATTCATGCACCTACAATATTTAAATGGCAATGGAATGCCCATCTCTGACAAAACTAAACAAAATGGTGATATAAATGAAGGACCATTTTGTATCTGTCTATACAAAATAGTTATGATAGATATTCAACTACTTTTCTTAATTCAATGAGAAGAAAGATTTGTACTAATAGTGTTTGGAAAGGATATCATGTCTGCTTCTTGTACTCTGAATAACTGCTATGAAGACAACAATATACAGTGTATTAATTATTGTAACTGTCCTACTAACCTGTTTTGAAATGATCTCATTACCATTTGTTTCTCAATAAAATTAATGTTAAAAAAAGAAGGGTCAAATGGAATTTCTGGATTTATTTTTTTGAGGAGTCTGCACACTGATTTTTGTAGTGATTTTACTAGTTTACAATCTTGCTAAAAGTGTAGAAGGCGTTGCTTTTCCTTATGGCCTCACCAGATCACTTAATATTTTATTTTTTTTTCACTACTGGGGATTGAAAATATTTTATTTCTTGATGAGAACTAGTCTTCATGGAGTAAATGGAATCTTAGTGATGTTGTAATTTATATGTATTTCTGTAATGGCCAGTGATGTAGTTCATTGTTTTATCTGTGTTACTTCTTCTAAGAATGTGCTTTATTTCAGTTGATCATTTTGTGATTGAGTCCTTTACTCTGAGAGGGTCTAATTTTTTTTTTTGAGTTCTTTATATATTTTAAATTGTAGTACTCTGTCCAATGAATACACAGCAAGTGTTTCTGAATGGAGGTTATTCCTTTACTCTGTTGGTTATTTTCTTTGAAGTGCAGAAGGTTTTTGACTTGATATGATCCCAGCTTTTGATTTTTCATATCATTTCTTATACAATTTGGGCTCTATTCTTTTCTTTTTAAAGAAAAATTAAATATAAGAAACATGGAAGAGGGGCAGATGAAGATTCCCCAGAACTCAATAAATCAGGGAAAAAGAGGAAAAGAGGGGAAAAAAATCTAACATGGAGAGAAATATTTCTCTGTATTTTTGAATGAGTGGCTTCCTTGATCAGTAGTTTTGGAGTCCAGTGAGTCACAGTTCTTTCCCCTGAGCCTTATCCTGTGGTTTTGCAGGGCGCCCCCTATTTCACTGCCCCACTGTTTGTCCTACACTCTGACAACCTCTAAACCATGCTGTGTTCATGCTCATGCTCAGACAAGGAAGCCATTCAGGCCTTAGATCTGTGCTGGCAGTAGGCTGAGGGTTTAAGAATCAGCGTCTGCACTTTTAGATCTAGTGCAACTGAAAGCAGTCCTGTCTTCCTACCTTGGGGCTAGGGAGCAGGTGGAAGCTGGAGGTTAGGGTTCCTGCATCCTAAGGACATACACCATGGGGTTAAGGGCTGGAGGGACGACAATATGCAGAATGTCAAGGAGAAACAGGGATGAGGGGGATCTTCCTTCCTGCTAGATGAGTGATAGATATTAAAATAATAGCTGTGTAGAAAAAGAGTATGAGGATAACTCTTCCTGCTGAGTTAAAACCCCTCAGAAATCTTCATTCTTGGCTCCCTATTAGTGACTGGGCCTATGTTTTCTTTCATCCAGTCACTATGGGAGGAAACACTGAAGTGAACTGTTTTAAGTTCTAGATTCAAAGAATCAATCCCTTCTTGGAATGGGACCCAACCTCACACTCCAGCAGTGTGGTGGGTGCCTATGCTTGATTCCACCTCAGCTGTTGCCCGACTTATGAGAGTTCCTTTAGAGTAGAGCTCAAGTCTGTCTCTGCAGATCTAAGCAACTAGGGCTCTCCTTGCAGTCAGTGTCACTGGCCCCAGGCCACTGCCACCATTTCTCCTGAGATTCCCCTGGTGCCCAAATTCTGCAAAGCCAGGCCTTCCCTACCACATTCTGTGAATAGCAAGTTTGGACGTGGTGGAGGCATTATGCATTCCAGACTTTTTCCCCTTTCTCTGTGTTATTGTCCATCTCTCAAACTTTATGTGGGTTTTTTTCTGTGAGTTCATCTCCAATTCCTGGGGATCTTCCTTTTCCTCCCCTCTTCTTGTTCCTCTCCCCCTTCTCTTCCTTCTCTTCTTCCTCCTCTTTTCTTCCCCATGTTGTTATTGTCTACTCTCTGGATCCTGAGTTTCAGGGAGTCAGAATTTTGCTGCTGCTCACCACTCCACCATTTTGATAGGAAGAATTTCAAATATTATTTTGATAAATAGCTGGAACTTTGATTTGGATTAACATTAGAGTGAGAAATACTTGGAGGCATTTTTAGTAAATCCCCACACTTCTTCCCCAACCTCAGGATTCTTATAAATTTCACAATGAAGAGCCAAGAAAAGTCTTCTCAGGGGTTTAGCTAGGTAAGGGGTGGAGTAAATAACATTGTGAAATAAGAATACAACTTTTTCTTTTGTAATAGAGTTCTACTGTCCAAAGGAAGAGTTTGAAAGTCATGTCCCACCTAGGTTGGAGAAATTCTCTGACTCCAGGGTGTTGGTTAGCCTTGTGACTTCAGTTCTCTGATGGGTCTAAGAACAATGATTGATTTCCAGTTTGTCCAGCTTTTATTTGTTTTAAGAATGGAGGTAATACTTTCTAATGTATTAGAAATTGAAAACATAATTCTTGTCAAAATTTTTATTTATATTTCTATAACTAAAATGTTCCTTTAGATCACTGAGAGAATTTCACATCTAAATTTTATCTATAAGGATGAAAATCTATGTTTTTTCTCATACAGGAAAATGGTATTGACTTTCCAATGAAATTTTATTAAAAAGAAAGTGATATATAATTTTTCCTTGCTTTGTCATCTTAATTTGCATTTAAAAATAATTAGTGAGATTAAATGAAGAGAAAATGTCAAGAGAGAGATTCTGGAACCTGACTGCTTGGTTCAAATCTCACTGTGCTCTTCCTTTCTATTTAAACTTAAGCTAATTTATGAATTCAGTTGCTGCATTTGCACAGTATTTAATTATTTGATTCATAGGGTGGTTATAGGAAATAAAAGTTAGTATTTGTGAAATGCTAGGCACATTGCCTTGAACATACTGTATGCTGTAGGGGAAAGGTTGCTTAATTTGAATTGCTGCTCCTAGCTTTTGGGAGATACTGAATTCTAACCAAGAAATGGTGGGTGCTGAAGCTTGTGTGCTCTCTGCGGTCTTGAATATAATATTCTATTAGTTAAAGTTGTCTTACTTCCTGGATATGTATTCACCCAAACCAAGCACTTTGTGGATGCCTACTTTCAGTTCCTGCATCCTAAGGGCATACACCATGGGGTTAAGGGCTGGAGGGATGACAATATGCAGAACATTGAGGAGAACAGGGATGAGGGGGATCTTCCTTCCTGCTAGATGAGTGACAGATATTAAAATAATAGCTGTGTAGAGAAAGAGTATGAGGATAAGGTGGGAGCTGCAGGTACTCAAGGCTTTAGCTATTGCTTCAGCAGAGTTCAGCCTCAGTACTGAATGAATAATCAAAGCATAAGAAGCAAAGACCAGAATCATGTCACATCCAGCCACAAACCAGGCCAACATCAGTTGATAAAGCTTGTTAATAATGATGTTATCACAGGCCAGACTAGTGACCCCTAAGTTAGAGCATAGACAGTGGTCAATTTCATTTCTGGAGCAATAGTATCTCTGGGCAGCCAGTATAGGCACTAGGATGGTTAACAGGCCATTCCTGAGCACAATAGACAGTGTGGCTTTGATTACAAAAGCTTCCGTGACAATGAAGGGATACTGAAGGGGGTAACATATGGCTACATATCTATCTACTGCCATGCAGAGGAAGATGCCTGACTCCATGAGCATAAAACAGTTGATAGCATACATTTGAGCAAAACACTGAGGTTGGCTGATGGTCTTAGCATCAAACCACAGGATTGCCAGAATCTTGGGCATGCTGGTAGTAGCCAGGCCAATGTCCACTACATCCAGGATACCAAGGAACTGATACATGGGCTCATGCAGGGTAGGCTCATGGAAAATGGTGATTAAGATAAGGAGATTAGCACCAAGAGATAAGAGGTAGAGCAGAACCATGGGTAAGGAAAGCCAGTCCTGCCACTCATGAATGCCTGGGAATCCCATGAGGATGAACTCAGACACTTGAAACTCTGACTCATTGATTGTCCTCGGGGCAATATCCATATCATGGGGTGTTTCCTTTCCAGCATCTACCTGTGGATTGAGGGAAACAGAAAAATGCTGTCATTAGTTCTGCAATGGTAGATGAATAACGCTTACTCACGGCACACTTCCTTTTTAGCACAAGTCATTCTCAACCCCTCAGAGACAGTCGGAAAAATCTGGGATGAGGACAGAAGGTTCAAAATTGATTCCAAGATAAAGATGTTTATAGAATAATAGTGAAGACCTACTAATTTAATTTTCCTGAAGACATGTGTGTTAGAAAGGGTCCTCTATTCAACAGAGAAAATTAGAGGGCAGAAGTGTTAATGGCATTCTTGTCAATTTTCATGAAGGGAGTAGGTAATCAAAATAGAAACCTTTACCATAGCTTTCATTTATAGTGCCTCAAGGTTGGTAAATGGTTTCTGACACAAAGCATCTCATTAATCTGTACTATACAGATATTGTCATTTATATATCATGAAACAGAGTTTGAATGAATTTTCTAGATGATATTTATGCATTAGGAATATGTATATGTGATTAAAGCATAACAAAAATTTATATTTTTGCATTAATACTAAGAATATCTGCACTAAATTGTAGCTAATAAATTGATACCTCCAGAAAAATCATTCATTTTCTCCTCTGATTATGAAAGTAATGCTAAATTGCTAGAAGAATTTATGTTATGTGAAATTATCCATTAAGGGAAGGGGAGGGGTTAAGGTATGAAGGGAAGATAGCAAAAAGGGAATAGAAGGAAAAATGGAAACAACTTTTTTTTTCCAGGACTGAGGATTGAGATAAGGACCTTGTGCTTGCCAGGCAGGCACTTATGCCACTGATCCAATTTCTCAGCCCCTGACCTTTTGTAAATAAGGAAGGAAAGAAGGTTTAAAAGGGAGGGGAGTGAAGAAATATTATGTACAGGTACAAATTCCCTACAATAAATGTGATTATTATGTATATCAAAATGTAGCAGTAAAATTGACTGATTAAACAAATTACCATCACAGATAAGTGCCAACCACATGACCTCACTCATTTATGGGATCTAAAATATTGATCCCATAGAAGTAGGAAGCAGATTAGAAGCTACCAGAGCTGCAAAGGATCACAGGGAGTGCAGAGGGATGGGTGGTAGCTGGCTATAGTTAAAGAAAATGTACTTCTATACATTTAAAAAAAGCTAGAAAAGAGTATTCTGAATGTTTTCTTTACAAAGAAATGATACATGTCTGAGGTGATAGATGTACTAGTTAGGCTAATTGTATAGACCTATGTATGTATGACAACATCACATTATAAATATATAATGATAATGTGAAAATTACATATAAAATAAAACAGAAAACAAAGAATTAATGGTATAATGTAGAAGGTATATAATAGTTTACTTAAAATTCTTAAATTTACTGTATGTATAAAATTTTTAAATTATATTTAAAATGAAAAAACATGCTTGAAACTATTTTTTAAATAACCAGATTAATAAAAAATGTAAAGGGAATAATTACCAACAAACTTCCAGTCACTGCCAGATTTCTATAGAGAATATTTTAGTAATATACTGAGCTGTTATGGTTTGTGTCTAGGTATCCCTCCAAAGCCTATATAGTCACTGGGATGGGCTTCTAGACTTTGTAATTAATTCATGACCCAGTGCTGGCATTATGGGTGTAGGTGCTGCTGGAATTATGAGTGTGAGTGCTACACCTGGCCTGGGATGTGTAGCCTGATGCACCATAAGGGAGACAGACTTTATCTCTGCTGAAATTGTTAGCATTACTCCTCCCACTTGCTCTTGATGTTTTGCTGTCATCTGCTTCAATGAACTGCTTCCCTCTGCCATGTAGCCATCTGCCTTGGAGCCAGCCAAGTATAAACTGAAACCTCCAAAAACTATGAGCTAAATAAACCTTTCCCTTCTTCATGTTGTATATTGGTATTTGTCTCAGCAATGGGAGAAAAGTAAGTGAGGCAGAATTTGGTACCAAGAGTGGGGTCATTGCTGTGACTAAACCTGATCACGTGGATAATAAGACTTTGAGAATGGCTTATGCGAAGAGTTAGGAAAGGTTGAGAAGTGCTGGAACAGCTTTGGCTATTCTATATGGGAGATTATGGTCAGAACTCAGAAGACCAGAAGGCTTTTGGAGATCCTGGCTGTAAAGACCAGTATGGGGGAGTTTCTTCAGGGAAGAACTGCATTTGTTGTTGGACTCCAGACAATACATGTTATAGCTTGGCAGAAAGTTTGTCTGCTTTTTGTTTCTGTCCAGAGACTTTGCCTGAGACTGAGATTAAGAACAGTGGGCTGATTAATCTTGCAAGAGAAATATCAGGGCAGTCAAATGTTGAGGCAGTGACATGGGTGCTGTTGGGGCTTTTAGTCAGATTTATGTGGAGAATAAAGAGCAAGGATCCCAGCAGGATGATTTAAAATGTTGTTTGTGCAGGAAGGAAGTTTCAGGAAGGCTGCAGACTGTGCAGACAGAGCTGAGATTGCTATTGCTCAGGAGAAGCAGGAGAATAGAAAAGATATCCTGAGGGCATCACAGGAGGCAGAAAGTCCTCCCCCTTTGCAACCTCAGAACTGCAAGTGTGAGAGACTTTGCTTTGAGGAAAAAGCTGCAGAGCACCATGTTCTGGAATGGAGGCAGTGGTCACACCAGGTTCCAAAATGGCAGTGGCATAGAGAAGTTGTTCCTTGGAATCAGGGTCAGAGTGCTCAGTGATCCAGGCACTCAACTCGTACAGCCAAGAGAGAAGAAAACCTGGTTACTGCTCTAGCTGATAGTGAACCTTGGTATCATCCACATGAAGTTCTAGGCGAATGCAGAATGCAGGAGTTCTGAGGTTAAGAAGGCTTCCATGTAGATTCTGTAAGGCCTGCCTGGGAGGCCAGGCCGTGTGCCCCTGGGCGAGCAGTATGTAAAGCTGTGAGTGAGAAGTCTATTCAGTGGAAACCCCAGAAATTTGTAAAAGCCAGAACCATGGATTGTCTGAGGAAAGCTGAAATGAGGGAGAAAATCCAGCTCCAGAGAGAATCCATGGGAGCTACAACCAGCAGAAGTGCCATAGGGGTGGAGCTATGTAAGGCTTTTGAAGCTCACAGCTCATCACAAATTGCTTCAGATCTTCTATGTGTAATTACAGGACTTAATGTTTGCCTTTCTAGATTTTGGACTTGCTTTTGTCCCAATGCTTGTTATCCCTTGTTTAACCTTTTGGAATGGTAATGTTTTCCTTGTGCCACTAAATGTTGGAAATGTTTAACTTTTCATTTGTACAGGGGCTTAAAGATAAGAGTTTGCCTTAGATCTTGAAGGAGACTGTTAGAACTTTGGCAACTCTTAAGAGATGAACTAAAATGCCTTTTGCACAAAGGGATGTACATGAGTCTTTGGGGACCCAGGGACATGAGTGCTGCTGCAATTGTGGGTGTGAGATTTACACCCAGCCTGGGGTGGGATAGCTTGAACACAGCATAAGGGAGACAGACTTGCCCTCTACTGCCACTGTCACTGCTATTCCATCCATTTGCTTTCACTGTTATGCTCTCTTTTACTGAGATGAACTGTAGCACTCTGCCATGTGTGAGACTGTCTGGGAGCCAGCTGAATGTGAACTGAGACCTCCACAAATTGTGAACTAAATAAAACTTTCCTTTGGGCCAGCAAGACAGCCCAGTGGATTAAGCACCTGCTTTGGCAAGTGCAGGGACAAGAGTTTGATCCCTGGTCCCACATGCTGTGCTGGCCCTATCCAGAGGGCATACTGAACCAGCGATCCAGGTGTGGTGGTGCATGCCTGTTCTCCCAGTGCTGGGGAGGCTGAAAACAAGAGGATCACTACGTGTCTGAGCTGCATAGTGAGACCCTGTACCAAATACTTAAAAAAGAAAAAACAAACAAACAAACAAACAAAAAAACAACCAAGAAAAAAGAAAAGCAACCTTTCCCTCCTCTATTTTGTGTGTTGGCTTTGTGCGATATCCTATCCTCAAACTGTTAGAAGTGCTGGTCATTTACTTGCCATTCTAGTACTTATCTTATGTTTTACTCTTAGTACTTCTTTGCTATCATGAAAACTTTTTCTTAGTTCAATTGTTTTGAAACATTTAATTTTCTGAATATTGCTTAATCTTAATTTTTGTTCTAAGATTTATACTGTATCTTTGACTTACAATTTATTTAAAATACATTGTATGATATCTTCTCCTAATATTAGAAACTTTAAAAAGCAAAAAAAAAAATTTTGTGTGTTGGGTGTTTGTCCCAGCAATGAGAGAAAAGTAACTAAGACATGAGCCTTTATTGCACTCATTTAGACTTTTTTGTTTAAGTCATTTCATGACTCATTGTCATACTATGTCCTCTTCATTTTTGCTTTTGCATATTATATCATCAAGTATTTTTATAAGTATGAATCATTTCTTCCTTTTCCTTAAATCTTAAAAACTCAATATACAATTTTATAATTCACTGTTCTCATTATAACTGTTACTATTATTAGGTGCTTTTAGCACATATCATTGTTTCTCTTCATTATGTATCTCAGTGTGTATGTCTTTCTTATAGAGGCCCATTGAACAGATCTTTTTAATTATTGTTTTGTTGTTGTTTCTTCTTGTATTCATCCACTTTGATAAACATGTGCTGCTTTGAATTTTTTTGTTTGTTTCATATTATATCAAACAATTTATTATTTCTGGCAAAGTAAACACTTGTATATATATTGCAGTTTTACTTGTTTTGTCTTTTTGTGTTATGGATCATTTTTTCATTCTTACAATTTTCCCATTGATACTGATATTTAGAAAAATTTCTAGGTAGGTAAACAAAAAGATGCTTGCAAATCATATCTTCCTTCTGAAAATATTTATATCTGCAATTTTTTAAGTCTTAAGGAAATGGTTAGAAGTTCATGATCAATGTAAAAGTAATTATGATGACATACATCATGACTTTTTACATGGAGATCATGAATACCATAAGTGATTGATTTTTATTTTTCAAATTTTTAGGTTATACATATCATTT